ATCTCTACTTGATGTGGGTGTGCATTACTCTTCTGAGTATTTCTTCAATTAAGATGATTATTCGATATTTTAAATGTGCATAAATGCTCACTTAAGGTAATACTTTTCCTTGTATTAACAATTTAGTAAATTATTTGACATATTGATATATTTTATAAGAAGGCAGAGAAAGTATCACAAGAATCATGACCAACATAAGCATCAGCAAGACAGGTATGTTGAAATCCTTATTTTGTAAATATTTGGGGGGGGGGTGTTAATCTACTGTATGCTAAGTAACACTTACACAAGTACTGACAGTTCTGGGTCAAATCCAGTGCAGGCAGGTGCATCTCTATTAGCATCTTTCATCTGTTGAGACTATCTGTGTTTTTCTAAGCTGAAACTGAGATGTAGATCTGATTTATGTTAGTGCAATCATGAATGTTACGATTGCCTAAGGAGCCTTATCCCACAAAGAAATTTATTTAAAATGTGTATGAGAAAAATGGCATTGGAAATAACACATTTGATGTTCAAAAAATTTTCAAACCCCTCAAAACCATAAGTATATCCTAAAATATATACTGATGTGAAATAAACACTGATCCCATACTTCTGCATTTTAATGTATGATACCTATAAACATTAAAACTGTTCTCAATGCTTTTAATGCCAAAACTTCTAAATACAGTACTCTGACTCAGATCCTACAAAATATTTTTAACTTTTTATCTAAACATCACTATGACAAAGGAAAATAAACATAATACTGGTATTAAACAAGCAATATATTAAGTGTGACATAAAAGCAGTTTGGTACAGTTTGTGAAAGATGCAGTAAGATGCTCAATTTCAGGTTGTCAGGTTAAATCCAGTGCAGTCAATACTGTATTTACGTGAATAGCCAGTACATTAGTGATATGCTCATATAGATGACACACAGCGTTATCCAGTCTATTCTTGTGATAGGTGGCCTGTTACCTTGCACATGGAGAATGGCACTTGATGAGACAGTACCATTAGAATTTTTAGCCCGAACAACATAGAGGCCAGCATCTTTATCACACACCTTCTGAATGAACAACGTGTGCTTGGTCTCCTTTTGTAAAAGCTTTAAGTGCCCATTTGCAGTCAGTTTCTGGCCCTTCTTGTACCTGAAGCAGAGAGGCAGTTTTCAAGTCAGATTTATATTACTACACGCTAAGCAGAACTTCCCAAATTCAGACAATCTCTATAACACTAACTTGACAGCAAGAGATGGAGCTAGTCGCAGTGCCTATTTTAAAACAATTACATGCCAATATGGATGTATATTTAAATGACTTAAATTGCTGGATAATATATTCTTCATACTAGAAAGTGTGGGTCCCACAGTTCTGAAAACAGTCCTACATGGGCAAGTCACACAGCTGTGTGTGACTGTGTTCGGTACTGGACCCTCAGTAGAATAAAGGATTGGACCCTCAGTTTTTCACTGAGACAATGTTTTTTCTTTCTAATAAGGTTTTGAATTAATCCATACTCATCCCATGTGAACAGGGTCTAAAGATGAACAAGCAACCTATAAAGCAAGCAACATATGAACCTGTCTTCAGATACATAAAGCAGTCCACTCCCCTGATATTTACTTAGTTCAGAAAGTATACAACAATCTGACAGGAAATATATTACAAGGAATATGTTATCTAAATGTAATATATTGAAAAGAAAGGTTTCTCCTGGGAAAGATGAGAACACAGAGAGCAAAGTAAAATTTAATCAAAATATGTCAGGACATAGAGGACTACTGCTGAAATTCTGCCCCTATTTCAGTCTCTATCTTTGGTACAGTATTTTGAAAAGTCATCTTAAAATGTATTTATATTACATCTCTAACAAATACAGAATAAAGCAATCTCATAGGACATACAGCAATTCAAAAAGAGAGACACAAAATATTTAATACAAAACTAGTGCTCTGGTACAGATATTTAGGCTTTTTATACATGTAACACGTCTCCAGTTTTTGGTAACGCTCTTATGTGTGCATGTGTGCATATGTAGTGGCTATAAATACATATTTGTGTGTGTTGCACATATAAATACACAATGGCAAGAATGCAGAAGAGTTCACGTACAATAAATCTGGAGTGGACATTTTCTGACAAATTGCTAAAGATGTGGAATGTCAGTGAGAATGAGCATAAAAAGTATATGCTGTATTTAAAAAGTGTTTGATATGCTTACAGTGGTTTGATATTTTCATTATTCATGAAATTAAGTGCAGAGAGATTATTTCAAATGGTTAATTGTCAAAACTTTCAAAGTGGGAACCATGCAAATGTGTGGCGAGTAAAAAAGTCTCAAGTCATTTATTCTAGTGTATAGATTAATTAATCTAGTCATATGTGATTCAGTTTGTCTTACTAGTAGGTATATTTAGTTCTTCTCATTATAAGCTACCCACCATGTCAGTGCAGGCTCTGGGAATCCTGTTACTTCTACTTCCAAAGTTACCGGAGAACCTTCCATGACGGTTATGTTAGACAGAAGCTGGGAGAAGTTAGGCGCCTGTCCAGAAAGACTGGCCATGCTGTTCTTTTCTGATGCACTTCTAATCTCTTCTCGGGTGACCATCTGCCTCTGACAGCTTCTGCTGGTGTCTGATTGAAACATGAAACCTGAGAATGCATCAGGCAAAGCATGCAGCCCGTCCTGGGTTTTAGTAAAGTTATTTAAGTCATGCAATTGTTCTTGTGTTTCTGACATGCTTCTATTATGGTGTTCAAGGTGTTTCAAGTGTGTTTCACACACTTCACTTATCATGCTATAGGCTGGTTTGGCATTTACTGTGCAGGAAGCAGTGCTAGCTTCAGGTATTTCTTGTAAACTGCCAGTCAGAGGAGACTGCCCTCCAACTTTCAGAGAAGAATCTATTGAAGACACACAACATTTCTCAAACTGTTCTGATGGGCTCTGCATCCTATTCTTTGTAGCATCAGCATAAGCAGAATTTGTTAAGAGATCAGATGCTTGAGCAATTTTTTTACAACTAATGTCTTTCTGCATGTGCAAGCTATGGGAACTGACATGCAGGCTATGAGTGCTACAGCAGCACTGCTCTTCTAGCTCTGTTTCAGAATGCAAGAGGTTGGATTCTGGTGTCTCAGAAAGCGGTGGCAAAGAGATATCATCAGGTGATATACACTCATATTCATCTCCAGAAGGTGTTTCTTCTGCCAGGAACTCAGTCTGTAAACTATCCTCTTTGGCTGAAGATGACAGCTCTATATCCTGTGAAACAAAATCTTCACCAGCTGGGCAGATAACTGGAACATCAGCCAGTTTATTCCTTTCCTTGAATTAAGAGGGGAAAGAAGAGAAGGAAGAGATAAAAAAGGAAAAAAA